CACACACACACACACACACTTCATCTTCTTTCGCTCTCTCTTTCGGCATCGAAAGGTTAAACAGTTTCAACAACTGGTTCTTGAAAACACGGTAATGGACCTTCGAGATTTTTTTATATGGAAGGGAATTTATGGAATATTTCTTCACTTAGCAACCGTTCAAGGACACTGGTCTTTGCAGTTTATTAAGCGTTAATATATATTAGTATATATATATATATATATTCTGAAGGATATGCAGACAGCAAGTCCTCGTAACTTCGAGGAATAAAACTGTAAAACTTAAAAAACGTCATCACATTTTAAACACTTTCCTACCAGATAGGCCTATGTATAAAAAGAATACAATAATTAGTGCATATATCTGTGCTGCGTCAAGTATTGGTCGGGAATCCTGAGGGGAAGAGACCGCTGGGGAGACCTAGACGTAGATGGGAGGATAATCTCAGGCGGGATCTATGGGAGATAGGAGTTGAAGGAGACTGGATTTTGTTGGCCCAGGACAGGGTCCGGTGGAGGGCTTTGGTTAATTCGGTGATGAACCTTCGGGTTCCGTAAGCCATCTGGTTGGTTGGGTCCACTATTTGGGAAGCCTGAGGGGAAGAGACCGCTGGGGAGACCTAGACGTAGATGGGAGGATAATCTCAGGCGGGATGTATGGAAGATAGGAGTTGAAGGAGACTGGATTTTGTTGGCCCAGGACAGGGTCCGGTGGAGGGCTTTTGTTACTTCGGTGATGAACTTTCGGGTTCGGTAAGCCATCTAGTTGGTTGGGTCCACTATTTGGGAAGCCTGAGGGGAAGAGATAACTAGGGAGACCTAGACATAGATGGGAGGATAATGTCAGGCGGGATCTATGGGAGATAGGAGTTGAAGGAGACTGGATTTTGTTGGCCCAGGACTGGGTCCGGTGGAGGGCTTTGGTTAATTCGGTGATAAGCCATCTAGTTAGTTAGTTAACGCATTTGGAAGACATGTACTCCAAACAGGAGTGTTCTTCTCTAGTCTTGCTACGTAAACATTCAACTATGTTTGGCTTTGTCATTTCCATGACACCCGTTCATGACATCTAGGAACGCATATAACAAAGCACTGATGGCCAATTAATGAAAGTTATGTTGGATTTGATCGCAATTCAGATGTAACGATCACAAACAGGCTCTGATAAAGAAAGGACTCTGCATGCTTCCAACGCACTGGAATGCCATCTCGAATGTGAATGTGGCTGGCTCCGAGAATAATCACAAGTCCCAATCAATTGCTACAGATCGTGGATTTATTGTAGACAATATCTCTCCGGAAAACTCGTCATTACCGATGGCATACAATAAACAATGTGACCGGAAAGGAGCAAAAGGCAGTCAATTCAACGATACATTCCTCTGTAAGGATCTCAGACGTACGCTTATGGAAATAAGCAGCATGTTACTGACTCAAAGTTTAACATCATACGTCACTCATTATCAAAGCGTTTCTCAGCCAGCGTACCGCGATATTCAATTTTCAATTAAAATACGTTACAACACATTTTACAATTACTGACACACGTAGAATAATTAATCAATTAACAAGCTAATAAATACGAACAGCCAAATAGACTATTGTTATACGAATATGCGAGCAATGTAATTAAATAATAAGAAAACAAATAATTATTGCGTAGTTGTTCCAACAAATTATGTTTGTCAGGAACGTTTACGAAGGGCACCAGACCACAGACCAGTAATGTGAAACCCTACAGTGGGGGCAACTCTTAGACACTAAATTAAGTTTAAAAGCCTGTAAAGAAATAAATTATATATATATCTGAGCTGTACTCCATGAAGTTTCAAAGCCTCAAGAACTTGAGTGACAGTTTCCTATATCTCAAGGAATGGGTTTCCTTCATCCCCACATTATCCTCTGTCTCAGTTATAATCCTCAGAACCGTATTCAATTTAAAACTGTGGAGACTGAAAAGGTATAGAGTTCTGTAATAGCGGTTAGCTATAAAGTTTACGACTTGGTGGTCAAACTGTGTTGCAGAGTTGCAGTACGTCCCCTGCCTACAGAGAACAGCAAATGTCACGGCTACAATATTTGTAAAAAAAAAAAACAGGCAACAATTTACGACGCCTACGTCACTTAAAATTCTGAAGTATACACGAAGAGGCTAGCAAAAACCACAAATAATTAAACAACTCCGTAATTTATCTCTACTCATAATTTCTAATGTTTCTACGTCAAATTTGTCAAGTATAATCACAATGACTTACGCTGTTGCCATGGTTGGTTTTTAAATCACGTATATTACGAGTAGAAACATAATCAATTTCTTCAGGGAGAAAAAAAAAACATTATAGAAATAACAAACAATGAAACCAAATAAATAAAACGATAAATATTCAAATTGCAACTCTTAACATATATAATAGATATAATTAGGTAATCCCTTAAAGCCCAGTGGTACTAGTTGATGTTCGTAACGGTGAAGTGTAGTGTTTTCTTGGCGGTACGGACTGAATGTCATTTAGACGAGCTCCGGGTTCGAAGGATTAACAACTATCTCAAACCTTTGAACACATTACGACAGACTATTTCTGCATTATTCCCCACACACGCTGAAACCCTGGCAACGTCATTCAGGTGACGTAACCTTTGACTATTTTTTAAAAAAGAGCCTCGAAACCAAGAAATAAACAATTTTTACTCTTCGATTTTTATTTGGCGACAAGATAAATGAAAAAAATTCTCGTTCTCTCATCTCCCTCCTCCTTCATCCGGTCATATTTCACTCTTGTCTTCTACTTCTTGTACTGATTTTGTCGTCTTAGGACAGAACTGTGGACGCTTTGCCCGTCTGAGCCGTTTTTGAGATGACATCTTCACCCCACAGCAACAAAAATAAAACCAACTTATCATTTTTCCTGATTTACATTTGTAATTCAAGCATGTGCATTCTGCAGTCTGCAATCTGAAATACGCCTTTAGATAATATCCCAAGACCCGGGAGACAAGCATTCCGTGCGCATGCCCCTCACGTTGTCTTTCCCGCAGTTCTCATTCGAAACATGTTTTACCACAAAGAAGTATGTGTCAAATATTTGTCTCGAGCTGGAAAACAGTGCATCATAAAAGAAAGATCATTTAACGAACGTCAGGCGAAGTACTCTGATGTGGAGTCCTCGGTTCTGCACCCTTCACTGGCCTTTTGTCACTTAACTACGCTCCACGTCGTGTCGACACATGGGAGAGCTGAGGTATAACTCCACCCTCTCTTAACCTCGGCACTGCTGTCTTCTGGGTTGTTGCACAGTTTAGGGAGCGCATGCTGCAAGGACCTCTGAAACGTCGGTAAGCTTCTACCGGAGTCCACGGCGCAACAACCCAGGAGACAGACATCATCACAGGTTAGAAATGTTTATGTGGCGTGTAATAGGCGAACTAAACAGATTAGACGTCTATTTCAGAGGCAAACGTACGTCGTCAGAGTGAAATTGTTCTTCAGCGTTTTAGAAAGTAGACGTGAACTGATTAATTACCACTGATCCTGGTACCATCTTACTCGTACTTCATTAGGCATATTTAAATAAATGGAATGCAGATAAACAGTACTGGAAACATCGACAACATTACTAAACGCACAAGATGTCAGACATCGCTGGAACACGATATGTTACGATACACGCGCCCACTGCAAGAACGCGACCCACTTTGCAGGATACGGCAAGAAACTTTCTTACTTCCATCACAAAAGCCAAGCACTTCAGACAAACTGACCATACACCTAGCACAGAAATCGTAACAGAACACTTTAAAAGTGTCACGATCGACATACCTCGACTGTGAATGTCTTCGACGTCACGTTAAGCTTAAAACCGCCGTTACACAACTTGCGTCCTGGAAACTAACTCGCTGGCTCTGTCTTCCTGCAATGTCCATCCACCGACACTGATTTTTCACCAAACACAGGAAACACGAAACAGATTAAAACATGTAACTCACATAAAATCTTCAAGTTGTTGTTAGCGAAGCACCTTATTCACTTTCATTGTTACTGACAACACTTTTACCAACTGTTAAGGCTGGTGGTTTTTTTAACAACTTGTTGGACGCGGGTGGAAGGGGGGAGATATATAAAAAATGGAATCGTAGCAATAAGCTAACCGAACAGAGCTGGAGCCGAGCGATACAGCCTCCCTACCCTAGGCTCTTTACTCAGTCACTAACTCCCTCCTACTCCAGCAAACAGGTACAGCCAGCCATCTTACAAGAAAGAGCTGGCGAAGGAGGAGAGAGAGAGAGGAGAACGAAAGGAAAATAAAATGTTGTGTTGAGGTCGACTGCTGGATACCTGGGCAAGGCAGAGGATTGCCTTCAGCTACGATGGGACCAAGATTACAGTAGAGGCTAGGCTAGCGAGTCAGGTAGAGAGAGACCTTCTCTCTCTTTCTCTGAGAGGAGGCCAGCCAGCCAGCCATTAACTGCCATAACAGGGGAAGCAGATCACTTATGTACAGCCTGCGTTGACGGAAACATGGCTGAACAGTAAAATTCTTGTTTCGAGCTGTCGTTATACGGCAAATAACTCGTGTGGTTATGTTGCGGTGAGGGGTGAACAAGAGATTATGTAAAACCACGAAAGCAAACTCTGCAGAAATGCATAAGTAATGTGTAGTGAGAGTCGGGATACCTCAGTCAGTGTTGCGGGCTGGATTAACGGTGTTCGATTCCCGGAAGGCCGTGGTATTTTCTCTAGTCTATCTAGTGGGTACCGGGGACAAATTTCCTTGAGGGTAAAACTACCGAGGCTGATTGAAAATTCGCCTCTTCTAAATAGTGCCGATGTAAATTTTCTTGGATCCACGTGATGATTATGCAAGCGAAGGGAAGGCTTTATGATATCTTTGTCGTCTGTCGCGAGATAATGTACTATAATTTAGTGCGCCGTCATCTGGGAAAATAAAAACTCTTGTCGTGGTTTCATTACGCTTCAACAGCGAATGTCAACACTGCATCGCAGAAATTGTATATTCATGTCTTATTAACATGTAAATATTAAATATAGGTTGATACAACGTAGCTGACAGGCCTCTGGATTCGAATAGGGGACTTCCAACACTGCACTGAGACGAAAAGTTGTCTTCCTCGGTCAATAAGACACGTCATAAATATAAAACTATGTGGTAAGTAAGGATTATACAGGCTTGGTAAGGAAAAAAAAAACTTACCATGGATTTGAAGTTCTCATGGAAGTGAAAATGTCGATGTTGAACTTCTGGGTCGCAAAGTACTTCTTGCAGGTGGTTACCAACGTCTCCATTTTCAGGGTAACATGTCACATTCCTCTTCCTTTACTCTCTTTCTTCGTAATTATTCATATGCAAATTGAAAGTTCAACCCTAACAAGGAGGCAATACATTCCACCGAAACGTCGGTAACCACCTTTGAGACCAATAGGCGCCAACGACCAAAAATTTCATTCGCTCGAAGAATTTAGTACGGACCCCCCAGTACTAAACATAATTTAAATCCGATCGGCGGTTCCAGATGCCCTCGCCATAAAGGGATTTCACGAATTCCATGCAAATAACGCAAACCGAACAAGAAGAAATGCTGGAAATCTCGAACCAGGTGCCGACCTCATGATGTTTGTGCGCATGTGCGCTGCCGTTGAACCAGTGAGGACAATTGGCTTACACCAACCTGCTTTATCGACGTCACCTGAACATATTATCTGTGATCATCACACAGAAAATAATTATGAATCTTTAATTAGACAATATCCGCCACGGTGGTCTAGCGGTTAGAACGCTGGCCTTGTAATCCTGGGGTCTCGGGTTCGATTCCCGGCGGTGCCCGAATTTATAACTTGTGTTGGGCAAGGCCGTGGTCTAGGCAACACGGAGTTTTCCT